TGGGAAAATAACATGAAGGTAGTTACAAGAAAACGAAGAGGTTTGCGTTTCGAGCAAGTAACCAAAAAGTTATCATATACGTCGACATTTTTTATCAATTTCTGAATCAGTAAAGCATGACGATAGAAATTCCCAAGAAAAAGAGAGATACATGAGGTAAAAAATACTAAAGAAAAAATGGGAGACTTTAGCACTTTTCCAAATATGTCTGCATGGCGCACTCTCTACCAGTAGAGCAGATAATTGAGAATATCTACACATGCCGTTTCTGCGGTTTGCGTCATTTACCAAATCTGCCTTTATCAGCAAAACAAAACCCCGTGCTGCTGTGAAGATCAGTACTGACCAACAGCTACAGAATAACAAAACATTACTGCAGTCTACTAGCAAACAGTCGTGTTCGCATAGTCATAAACATTGCGGGTGTAAGTATATCGGTGGTATTCAACCATTTTACACCGGCAGAATGAATTTCATGAAAATGCGAATGTTCGGATACAGCAGAATTCTCTTGCTCTATCAGCGCTCTCCGACTCCTCATTATAAAGGGAGCCCATTAGAGCTATTTGCGACCAAACGAACTGTAACATAACAACTAACTGGCTTGCAAAATAGAAGAACGCAACACCAAAATTCCCACATAGCAAAAGCGCACTATAAGGCGACTCCGTGCATTCCTCTGTGATGATCTTGAAACATTGTGCGGTGGGCATCTGACAACGCGTCCGTATCCACTTCCGAGAGCACTGAAACATAGTATCCGGCAGCAATTTGAATCTTTGAAGGAAACCTCAAAAAAAGAAGAATCTAAAGTGTGCAGAAGTCAAAGTAAATATTATTTTTCACCCTTTGTCATCATTCCTCAGATCGTTCAGCAGTTTTGAAAAGTTATTGGAGCGATCTACCGCTTTTTGAAGCACGACTAATTTTTGTAGAGCATTGAATCTAAACATAGACTTTAAGCTGAAAGAAATCAGCACAATAAGATCGACTGTAAGAACTGTTCGCCTTGTGAGAATCCTGGATTCCGAGTTAGTTACAAATTGATTGTGTGGAATTTGTAGCATCCGATGAATAGCTTCGAATAGAGCCGCAGAC